AAAAAAAGCTAAAACATAAAACTATAATTCCAACACAGCAACACGGTGCTGACACGATGCAGCTGCACTCCTCACACAACACTGAAACCAGAGCTGCAACCTTGAGACTTGGACTTGACTCAGACTGGAGGAAATAAGACGACGAGACTCTGATTAAAGTTTTGACCTGGAAAAATCCCAGAACAATAAAAACGAAGTCAATGTCAGACCCTGCAGATCCAAACAAACACACACACACACACACACACACATACACAAACACACACTCGACACCTGCTCGTTCTGCAGCAGTTTTCACATGAAGATTTGTGATTTGATTCAGACTTCAGATCTGATGTGGGACGGCCGGTCTTAATTCTCTAACTCAGAACTAAGTCATGTTTCCATGGTAACAGTCACAGCTGATCAGTGGCACAAAATGACAAAAAACAAGCTAAACATGGCTTATGATTTATCATATTATATTTGCTAATAATGTTGTTGCAGTTACACGTGGCCGCTCGGTCAGACACGTTTTATTTTGAAAGAAACTTCATTCATCTCAAAATTCACGGCAGATCAGCTGTAAGAAAGACGGACCTACACCTGAAATAACATCTGAGCCGCCTTGTTTCAAAAGCCCTAAAATCAGCTGTGGTTAAAATACAGAACCACAGCGGCCCGGGTTCGAATCCGACCTGTGGCCCTTTCCTCCCTCTCTCTCTCCCCCTGACTTTCCTCCCTCTCTCTCTCCCTGCAACTGTCAGAATGAATAAATGAAAAGTAAAATTAAATCAAAAAAATACAAAACATTAACACACAAGCCAAAGCCACCAGAATCCCGACACAACCAGCCGCCTCCGCCTCAGCAGCAGCACCAACACAAAGTCAGTGAATCATTGACTCACTTCAGTGCAGCAACAAAGACACAATTAAAACACAGCGACAGCACAGCTGGGGGCTGTAGTGCAGCTTCGTGGGTCCCGGAGCAAAGCCTCATGGGAAACAAAATCAAATGCGTGTCCTTCAGAGCAAGGCCCTGTGGGATATGTAGTTGAACACAGAGTGTGGGTTAAATTTGACGAAACAATACACAATGCCTATGTTCTAACTTTGTGTGTGTGTGTGTGTGTGTGTGTGTGTGTGTGTGTGTGTCCACCTCACACCACAGCTTGTCATTGTGGCGCCAGTGTGGTTGGGCAGAAATCCAGAACACACTTGATCACACACAAACACTTAGAAAACACACACACATACACACACTTGTTCTAATTTTTGTTGTGTCTCTTATTGTAACACACACACACACACACACACACACACACACACATACACACACACACACCCAGCACATCAGCAGTGCCACACCTCCGTCACCGACCTCTTCACCCACTTATCCCCCTGACAACAGCAGCGTGTCCACCGGCTCGACGTCTCTCAACACCAGAAGCCGCCTCCCACAGCAAAAATAGATGAGTGTGAGGTGAGGAGGGGGGCAGGGGGGGGAGGGGGGGTGTGTTGGGGGAGTGCTGTTGAGTTTTGGGTGTGAAGTAATATCTGTCACGTTGACGTCTGGAGCCTGAGGTGGACGCTGGCGAGGAGCTGGACGGGCGGAGGGCCAGACTCCCACAGCTGGAGCCTTCAGGTCCAGAGGTCAGTCAGGTGTTTGTAAGCACATCTGGATTTAAATTTAATATCGCTCCGACTCCTGGAGTCACGGTTGTTTAAAAACATGTTCTCTTTATGGTAAAAACTAAAATATAAACCTTAGACTATATAACTAAAGAAATATGTTCAAGGTAATTCACTTTCAAACATGTTAACTCTTAATACAGGAAGTTGAGATTCAGAGGAATCATAACATGAGGAGGAAATTTACTTTTTGTGCTCTGTGATGCGAGTCTTATTTTGAAAATATTGTAAAGTTATAATCAGTTTTTTTACTTGTTCTGTGACGCAAATCTTATTTTGAAAATATTCTAAAGTTATAATAACATGAGTTTTAATGCATTACATCCAGTTGGCAGCAGGATGTTGACAGTGATGTCACCACATGTTCCTACAGGTGTGAAGAAACTACAATGACCAAACCTGACAAAGTGGCTGTAGGTCAAAGGTCAGAGGTCATCAAGGAGCAGACCCCAAGTTTCAGTCGGCAGAGAGATTACTGTAACAACCTCTGTGTGTGTGTGTGTGTGTGTGTGTGTGTGTGTGTGTGATGTGTTGATGAAGACTGGGTTATATTTACTGGTCATGTTTATGGCTCACAGACAGCTCAAGATGATATCTGGCTCAGAAATACGACCAACAGGATGAGCCCTCTAATTCTCACACACACACACACACACACACACACACACACACACACACAGCCTGGAAACCATCCAGCTGTAGGATCCAGTAGAAACTCGTCTCAGATTCAGACACTTTAAAGCAGCAACACGAAGTCGATTCAGTGTTAGTGTGTTAACACAACGTGTGATGAGTAATACTGTTCCAGCCTGGAATCACTACGATTAATGTGTTTTTGTTTAAGTTTAAGTTTTTTTTTATTCCCTAAAAAACCCCTTATATTTATATTTATTTCTCTTTACTTTATGTCAGTCACATTAACATTATTTAATGGGGGTCATCAATGGAGGTGGAAAACATTGTTTTGTTCTGTAACAACTTCAATCTCTTATTTGTCACTTTATTTATTAAGAGGTTCAAACTAAAACTCATTAAATGTCATTTTGAGTTCGACTGAAGGCACTCAGTTGATTTCACAGTAATAAATCATTAATCATTTTGATAATAATTATTAATAATTAAGATTTGACAGGTGTCACAGTATGTTCACATGAGGTTTACTATCACTCTTATAATGATGACATAATTCAATGGGATGTTGCAGTAGCAACTGTAGCGACACATATGTTCAGCTCCAGTTTTTAGTGCAGTTTTTCTCTTCTAACATTCGTGGTCTCCGAGCTCTAGCTGACATGACATCACTATGACATCATCATAGTAATTTTGATCCCGATCATATTAGATAAAGCTCGCCCAGGGTCTCAGAGGACATTATACAACTGCTTCCACAGGATGACTAACACTAACTCTGACTAGTTACTACATGCTAATGTGTAAAACAGGTGTACTGGCCCTTTAAGTGTGAAACGACCACAGTGTGTTCTCTGGATTTTTTCCGCCTCAGACCTGAAGCGGCGTCCCACAGTTCACTGCTTCATCAGGCCTGAGCCGCTGGGAAACAAACAGCGACGAGGCTCCACACGCCCGCAGAGACGAACCCGCCGCTCAGCCCCCGTCTGTTTGTTTATGTTTTCAGCCATGTTGCCGTCAGGGTGGCCCGGCTGCTCACACACACACACACACGCACACACACACACTGAAGCCCTCCAGGCTGCAGGAACGCTGCACAGTGACTGACATCTGACCTCTGACCTCCCCGCGGCCTCTTCCCTGCAGATCATGAGGCGTCATGCAGAGCACGTGCGGCGGCGGCGGCGGAGCGGCTGTGGAAGGATATGAGTGAACCAGGATCTTGATGGCGATTCTGCGGACGGGGTGGAAAGGGCTGAAGATGTAGAGAGCTGATGTGGCACTGAAACGGAAGATGGCCTTCCCTTTGTTCAGGACTATGAAGGTCTGCAGGACACAAAGAGAGAAAACACCGTCACTGGGAAAGCTTGATGTCACAGGAGCAGAAGTTAGTCAGTTGCTACAGTCATTAAATATCTGATTGTTATAAAAACGAGGAAACAACACGGTCGGTAAGTGAGAAATAATTCACAGACAGACGTCACACTCCATCAGCTCTAACGCACGTTCTTCACGCTCTTTATATCCTCTGAATTCACAGATTAACATCAGCTCACTTTCAGGAAATTATGAGGAAAGTTTCCAGGAAATTGACTGGAAAATACCTGCAAAATAAAGCACTGCCCATTTATTATTATATTGACGAATCAAACAGCTTATTTATATGTTGTGCTCTCAAGCAACGCTGCTGAGTGAAACTAAATACATTTACACATTTAGATGAAATTAATTAGGACTCAGGCTTTGGGGATTACTCGCTAGTTTAAGATTTAAATCATCAAACATCATGATTTTCGCATCACATGATGCTGTAAAAGAGGAATCAAACATAGCACCAGTTAAAGGAGAACTCCTGGATTTTTGAACCTGAGCTTTGTGGCTTTATTCTTCCATGTTTCTGTGTGTAAATAATTGATAGGGATCGGTCCACTATTGATCAGAAACAGCAAAATAATCACGTTGCATTTGTCCAAACAACATCCACTGACAGACTCAGACTGTTATTATAAGTGTCTGGCAACATTATGAAAAGGATTAGATCTTTGTTACAGAATAATTTCAGATCTTCACATCGATCTGTTCAAAACCTCACAGAACACAGGGGTTAGTTTGTGTTATTGTGCCACACGACAAACAGACAGACTGACCCAAACCACAATGTTTCCCTCAGCCAAAGCTTTTTACTAGACTTCACTTCACCGCACACACAGTGAACATGAGCCACGCTGCAGTTCTGTTTCCTCACCATTCAGATTTCAGTAGTTTATAAATTCATTTATAAAGGACACAGGGTGAGCCACTTTACATATAATGTAATGTTAATGTGGACGGGCTGAAGTCCTGTCATGACCTTTGACCCTTTAAAACCCAGAGAAAGTTTAGCTGAATATCAGTGTAACAGAACAAGAACACAGACTCAGTGTTTTTAGGTAAATCCCTCAAACTCTAAGTGTTCCTGCAGAGCGACTGGCACAAGAACACACACACACACACACACACAAATGAAGTGTGTGTGTGTGTGTGTGTGTGTTCGCCCTGGATGCCTCAGTAAAACCCAGAGGACACAAACACACCGGAGCTAAACACAGAGAGAGAGAGAGAGAGAGTGAAACAGAGAGGAGGGAGGGTGAGGAAACTCCCCTGAGAGAAACTTCACCAGGGAGAGAGACGGAAACACAAACACAAAAAGAGCAGAGAGAGTCGGCCGAGGGCGTTTTTCCAACCGACACCCAGGTCTGCACCAGAGGAAGAGCTGGGGACATGTTTGGTTTCTTTTCTCACAGAGAAACAAGCGTCACTAAAAGCAGAAGGAATCCATCCAGCTGCTGACTCAACTGTTCTACTCCTCTGTGTTTTACTGTGGACACGGCCATCTGCACGAATATCAGGAGGAACTCTGATTCTCTCATTTTATGCAGATGACACTGTTTTGTTTTCATCTGTCTCCTCAAATCAACTGTCTTCTTCAGACGTGTCTTGATGATCTTAATCTCTTCCCTAAAAGGTAAGAAACGAGCCCACAGGTCGTCTGTGCAGCAGCTTGTTATGACATCATAGTTGGGTTTTGCTGCTAGGCGACATCTCGTGGTCGTAGTAACGACGACAGGAGCGGAGGGAAAAATGTCTGTGACGTAGAATAAAGAGAGACAGAGTCCACGTCAGGAGGAGGAGGTGGTGGACGGACGGGTCAACAGTTTATGTCGTTTCTATTATCAAAGTTGTTATTATTGTTACCATGACAACAAAGTCGTCTAATGTTGAGGAAGTACTAATTTTATCCCTAATCACCATCTTTTTCTAAACCTAACCAAGGCATGATTGTGATTGATAATTCCCTCCATCTCTTAGTTAGTTGTAGTCAGTGGAGGTGACACGACGGAGACACAAGGCTCCTGTAAAACCCCATAAACACACAGAGTCGAACAGAAACGCAGCATCATCAGTACAGTCATTTAACCATTAATAGAACAGGTGAGCACCATGTGTGGATTAACTACCAATTACGATTCAGGTCTCGTCACAACACAATGCACCAGTGCACAATTTATTTTCCTGTGTGAGTCATGCTTTTACAAAATGAGTTTTAACATAAGCTGCTGTAACTCAGTCAAAGAAAACTGACGTCTGCCCTTGGACGGAGAATGAACACAGCCAGTTCTCCCCCGTGTGTTTTATTTTGAAAGGAAGGGAAATGCTCAAAAGTCAGGAACAGATCAGACGTTAACGCAGAGTTTAAAAACAGGACGGAGAGACAGAGGGAGACAGTGGCAGAGAAAAAGAGGGAAAACACACACACACACACACACACACACACACACACACACACACTCACACTCGGTCACCTACCCTCTGGTTTTCAGTGAAGTAGGCTACCAAAGAGTCAAATTATCTGCCAGGGATTCTCCAACAGAAAACAGGGGGTTTTTCCAAAAACCCTTCATCCACACACACACACACACACACACACACACACCCTCTCTGGGTGACCTACCCTCTGGTCTTTGAAGTAGTATGGGTCGATGTCTTCCAGGGGAACGCCCACCAGATGAGATGGGATGTCGGCGAAGATGCGCGGCAGCTGTTTTCCTGCCTCCAAGTCGGGCCGGGGCTTGGGGAGCTCCACGTCGCCCAGGTCCTGAGACACACACACACACACACACACACACACATACCAGAGCATCACTACCTGTGAAGTATCTCACATCTGCCTCCTGAAGCTGCTCCACATCTCTGTATTTTAGTCAGGTTTTACCTTCCAGTCATTTTCTGATTCTTGTTTCCACTTGTTTTCATAATAATAATACTAATACTAATAATACTACTGCTACTACTACTAATAATAATAATAATAATAATAATAATAGTGGTCTGTATGTGTATGTGAGTGAGTGTGTGTGTGTGTGTGTGTACCTCCTGGTAGTGTTTTTTGCGTCGGGCCTCCTCCTGGGCGATGCGCTGCTCGATGGCCGCCAGGGAGTCCGGCGTGAAGCGCTGAAAGCTCTCTGGTCCCATTGGAAACACACAGCCAGCCATCTTCTCATCCTGATCCTGCTGCTGACTGGCCCAGTTTACCAGCTGCAGAGACGGAGACAGGAGCGTCAACACAGGACTGAAGTCAGAGGGAAACCTGCGTCTCAAAAAGTCTCAAAGATGTCCTGTGACAGATTTCATTTTGTGGTTTAAACACCGTCCCCTCGTTTCCTCCGTCGGTTTCCTACATTTCCCAGCATGCCTTTCTACAACACTGCCACTTCTTCTGCCCTACATGGACCCAGAGGTGGTTTTTATAAGTTGCTATGGTGATGGAGAGAAAAGGTGTGTGGGCTGACACGCACAGAAACACCTGTCTAGACTGACGCTGACCCCCCCTCCCAGCAGCAGGTACCACAGCATCAAGGTGTTCTTCATCACGCCTCCTCTTCCTCCGTTTTTCAACGTCAGCAGAGAGAAAACATTTCTTTGCCATAAATGGAAGCAGGTGGATGAAACATAAAGGATCCACACGACTTTTACACTTTACAACTTTATTTATAACAACAACAAAGACTGACAATTTATTTTATTTTGAAAAACCTCCACAACTACCTGTACACCTATACCTACAAGCTGATATATTAATGTCACACATATACGTCCTCTGGATATATGAAGATATGAGTTTATTACATAAATGAAATACCCAAAGTACAATGAGTATCTGAACATGTATAAAAGTATTTTCCATGTTTGTATTTCATATATGGAAAGAGAATGTGTGTGTGTTATATTTGGGACGACAGTGGAGTTGTGTGGCGCAGAGGAACACAGATGATACTTCAGGAGAAGAGTTGATGATAATAAAAAGATTTTTTAAACCACCACTCCAGAAGTGACAGGTGAAACACTCGTCTAGTGTATTTTGAATCCTTGAGTCATGAGATGAGGAGCGTTTGATTCGAGCTCCTGGAGAGTCAGGACGGAGCCGTGATTGAATGGCTTCTTCACTCGTCCGATGATTACGTCCTGCGAGGCGGCGGCGGCCCACAGCTTCACCCCGCTCATCATTCAGCAGCCGCTCGGACCTTCTGAAAGGGCGGCAATCAGTCCGGAAAACTCTCGGAGATCGACTCCCACCTGATGAAGCACCTGCGCCCACCTGCGCCGCTCGACACCTCAGACACGGAGAATGTGTCACAGTGTTTTACACTTTGGCTTTTCAGGATTGAATTGTGTTTAAATTCAGAGCAAAGTATTTGATTTATACGAGCAACATTATTATTGGAGTTTCAGTGATGCAGAACTTTTCATACTGTCACCACACTGGTTTCCTCCAGCATTGATTTGAAGATTTTATTTATTTTAGCCTTCAAGGCCAGACTTCATATTAATATACTTCATATTAATATACTTCATATTAATGCTTCAGTGTGACCGTCAGAGCCTCTATGAACCTTTGAGTCTGTCTCAGGTTCAACAACATGAGCTGAAACAATGAAGCTCCTACAACCAGAGTCTGACGCTTTCAAGACAATCACATGAACAGATCACATGACAATCCTTCTCTCACACACACACACACACACACACACACACACACACACACACACACGGTCCCTCGTATTATGTTGCCAGAGTTCGAAGAGAGCAAGACTGACGAAGTGTGAGTGTGTAACAGGTCTGTGTGTGTGTGTGTGTGTGTGTGTGTGTGTGTGTGTGTGTGTGTGTGTATCCAGACCATCTGCCTTGGATCCTAATTGAATGATTAGACAGGCCTCGTTTTTCAACCCTTCATGCATTTATTCTTCACAGCTCCCAAATCTGATTTCTGAAGTGTGTGTGTGTGTGTGTGTGTGTGTGTGTGTGTGTGTGTGTGTGTGTCCACATCAAAGGAAAATCTAGCTCTGTTTTCCATTCTTATCAAAAGCTGTCATCCACTCAGTCACACACACACACACACACACACACACACACACACGTATGTGGAGTACAGTAGCTCCTGATGAGCGGTTCACTCCTGGTTTCCATTCTGCTCCAACACTCGGTCACGTACTCGCTCGTTTGTTCCTCTGACACATTCCCGAAGTCACAGACGGGTCGGAGGTAACGAGGCGACTGAAGGGACCGAATGAAAAACACTGAATTTCTCTTCTGTAAACAGCAGCATCATTTGTTTCAGACCATATATAACATATATTAACATCCACAGTATGGAGACGTGTGTGTTGTATGATCTACAAACAAGATCGATATAACGGGATCTATATAACCTGAAGGGAGGACCGGACCAAATGTCAGTGTGGAGGACATCAACATCTACAGAGACGAGAAGTCGCTCAGTCTAACGGCGCCGTAAGACGAGAAGACGAAGAAGAACTGCAGCGCGAGGATTGGAGGATGGATGAACGAGAGTGGGAGGAGGCACGAGCTTTTAACGCTGGAACTTTTCGGCAACGCGTCTGATGAAGGTCAAGCAGAAAGAAATACCGTGTCACGGTCCTGCTGTTGGTGAATTATAGATTTTCCTCACTTCTTATGTCCTTTCCTGTCTTCTCCTTCACCTCCATAAATCTTCTCTTCCTTCTCTCATTCCTGACCTCATCTTTTATTTTTCGTACGTCCTCCCGTCCGTACACGACTCCTCGTTTCCTTCTCTACCTCGCTCCTCGCCTTATACACCTTCTCCTGTCCTTTTCTGCCTCCTTCATTTCTTCCCTGCCTCCTTTCCTCACCTATCTCCTCCTTTACCATACCTCCTATCTCCCTTTTTCCTCCTCTACCTTTTCCTCTCCTTCTTACCTGTAACTCCAACTCTTTCCTACGTAACTTCTCCTCTACTCCCGCCTCTCTTCCTTCTCCACCTCACCTACTTCCTTCTTTCTTTGCACAAACAAGACCAAATGTTTTTCTTCTTTTTTTTGACGAATAACTTATTTGAGAACTCACAACATGTTTTCTACGACTCGCTGGTTTTACTGATCTGAGAGTCAAGTACAAGAACACCCTGAGTGACACTGAGGGTGTGAGTTCATGCGAATCAGAAGGGCTGATGTGTTTAATATCACCCTTCTTTCAGACAGTAATCAACCTCTAAACTCTGCGTTCACTCTTCTTCCTTCAGCTCCGGGCTGAACGAGGACGAGCCGCTGCAAACATCAAATTACTGAACAGACACTTTGAGATGCGTTCGCCTTCAGAGCTTCCAGTCTTTCACTGATTTCACTGTTTTTAATGATGTTTCTTTTTGTCTTCTTACTCGTGGTGTTGTTGTTTACCACTCGCTCCGTCTGTTCTGGCCTCACGCTGCAACCAGACCTTCAGGTTTTAACTGAAGTCTGCTGGACTGGCCTCTTTGGTGTTGCCTTTGAGGAAGTGTGGATTACAACATGCTTAATGCTAATAGCCCTGCACACAACAGCACACAACAACAAGACTGTGACAGGAAGATCAGAAAAAACGCAATTTATTGAAGCAGGAACATCATCGGGTCGTGGTCTGTTCTCTCCTCTCTGTGATCACATATACAGTGTTTTAATTCACAGTACAGCTTCTCATTGACATGTTTTTCTGTTTCTGTTGAAGTCGTGACTGAAACGCGACACATTAAGACCACGTGTTAACTGTAAAGCTGTTTCCAAGCTGCACGAAGTCGTCCGACCAAATCGCCGAACACGTCGGTGAAAGACAAAGTCTGCGCCGTGATCTCAGCTGCATTTACTTTACACTGAAGTGATCAGAGAGAGAAACACGTCAGCGACCACGCAGTGAGCACAGAGAGGTGTGTCTGCGGCGGGAAACTCGCAGGGCAGGACCGGCGACTCTCTTCGATGGAAAGCAGCTAAGATTTGTCCAAAAAGTTTCTGCATTCGTCACTAAATGTTTCTGAAAAGTCGCGAAATCTCACGACAAAGACAAGAAAAAGCAAAGTCCAACGAGGAAACTCCATCAGTCAGTCAGTCAGTCAGCGACAGACACTCATCTCTGCTGCTGTGTGATAGATACCAAACGGTGAGATGATGTTTTGTTGTGGTTACGTCTCATTTAACCTTTAATCAAGCTTTTAACTCCCAGCGTCCGACTCTGGAAGTGGTGATGGAAACTTTGCAGGAAGTAGGTTTCCTCCTGATTCAACAGTAAAGTGTCTTGCTCACGGGAAAACTGAAACTTCACCCACAACATGAAGTGAAATGGTTTGATGTGGGTGGGAAGAGAAACAATAACAGACAGATTTAAGCTACAGACGCCCAGAGTGAGTGAATGATGAAACAGAGAGAGAGAGAGAGAGAGAGACAGGATGAATTTCTGGGTCAAAACACCAACAAAGACGACCCACCATCCAAACAAGCCTCGCCCTCAGGAAGGACACACACATGCAAATGTGCATGAAGAGTCACAAACACAATGAAGAACAGATATTCAGACAGATGCTGCAGCTGTTTAAGAGCGTGTTTCCATAAACCTGCAGCCATGTGACACCTCACATTCACTTCCTGCATATTTCATGTCGTCAGGTTTTCACCGTCCCGCAACATAAACAAGAACCTGTCGTGTTTTATTCAGGCACCTTTATTAACAAGCATAAAACATGGACTGCACACACACACACACACACACACACACACAGCAGATAAATTCACACACTTCATTTAGGTTTAAATTAAGTCTTGTTTTATTTTTTACGACGGAGTTACTTGATCACAGACTGTCTGTTACCCATAATGCACTGGATGCAACATAGACCATGAAGATTAGTCAGTGTCCTTGAACATACCACCAACAGGAGATATCTAATGAGCTTCTGCCTGGAAGTTTCGACTGTAAAGCTGTGACTGGAGATACTGTCACATCCTCAGATCTAATCAATGAAGCTGATCAGAAAAATATGAGATTATTGATAGGAGTGTTTTTTCACAATAAAACGGTTCAGTCAGAGACACGTGTTTTAAAATGCTTTAAAATTTCTTCTTCTTTGTGAACTCTGAGAACGACGTCTCCGTCACAGACCGACAGTGACGTGTCATCACGGTGATGACGCTTCACTTCCTGTGACACGCATCTACACGCGTCACGTGTCGCTCACGTTCTGACCCGTCACTGAACTGGAAGCCGTTTCCTCCCGGAGCTGAGCATCAGCTGCTCTCAGCAGGAGGCGCTGAATAAAGGTTCAGGTGGTGCGAACCTCCAGACGCCACGCAGCGTGGCCATAAGTATGTGGACATGGTGAAGAGGGGTTAAGGAACAAATCTCTGTCCCTTCCTTTACTGCCATCTCTCTCTCTCTCTCTCTCTCTCTCATTTCATATGTGGAATCATGGCTATAAATCAGTTTGTCGCTGTCGCTCACACACAAGAGACATTTACTGAACTAGAGTCAGACTGTACGTGGTTCAGAAGACAACAGACTGTTCCTTAAGTGAATTACAGCAGAGCCTGTTCCTTATTTCCATTTTCTTTTTTTTCATGCATTCATCACTCCTGCCTCCATTGTGTGTGTGTGTGTGTGTGTGTGTGTGTGTGTGTGTGTGTGTGTGTCCAGAGCCATGCGCTTGGCGTAGGTGCATGCATATTCCCTCCTCCTTTATTTCCATACCATTTCAGCTATTCATCAGATACAGTGTGTCCCTCTCCTCTGTGTGTGTGTGTGTGTGTGTGTGTGTGTGTGTGTGTGAGCAGAATGGCCGTACGCTTGGCTTGCTCCTTTCTCCTCCAAGCGTTTCTCCCAACCTCTGGCAAGCTACAACCCCCCCCTCCCTCCCTCCCACCCCTCTCTCTCTTTCTCACCCCCCCCCCCACCCCCCCCCCCCCCCGCATCATGTCTGAAGTATGTTTCTCCCTTAAGGTCAAACAACTAAAACCTAAAACCTTGGTGTGAACATGTTGTTGTCGTGCGTCGGTGTTTCGGGAGGAGTGAGCGCTCGTGCTGCTCGGCTGGAAACTACAGAAGATCATTGAAGCCAAAACTGTTGACACGTTATCAGCAAATGTTGAGTCCTAACCGAGCTGTATCTCAGGATCGGGTCTGACAGGTTCATGGGTTCTGAGAGGCGGGAAAAAACCGACACTGTAAAAACCTTTTTACACCAAAATTAGCAGGTTTGTTAAACGCGGGTAAACCCACTACAAAGAGGCGATTGACAGGTTTTACACACAAAACTACAGGGAGTGACATCATCATGTGCACTTACAGAGCGCACACACACGCACGCATGCACGCACGCACGCACACACACACACACGCACGCACGCACACACACACACACGCACGCACGCACACACACACACACGCACGCACGCACACACACACACACGCACGCACGCACACACACACACACACTCATCCCGGGGTCGGTTCTCCGTCAGACGCTTCGATCAGCAATTAAATGTTTTTAAAACTTATTTCGGGGCTGCGTTCACTCTCTCTGGTGCTTTACACCAACGGCGATCAGAGCTGGAGCCGATAAACACCCACGTCTCCTGCAGACCGGGGAGGCCAAAACTTACTTAATACAGTCCCTCTTAAATGTCCCATATATTCTTCTTCTTCTGTGTTTTATTTGGAGTGTTGATCCATCAGAAGATATAAAAACCATCTCAGTGTAGTTTTACATCTCCTCCCTCAGGCTTCTCTCTGCAGCTCTAGTAACAACAGGTCAGTCAGCCAATCAAACAACACATGGTCATCTACCTTTATACTGTATGGACCTTTAATACGATACCTTCCAGAGCGTAGAGGAGGAGGAGGAACATTAGCCGTGATCAGCTAGTCTTTGAACGCACCTCATGGCATGTGGGTCGTGTTTTAAAGATTTTCACCGAGCTACATAAAGGCTACAGTAAAGTGTTGGCAAAGGTTGTAAATCTTCCACTATGAACGTAACTCCTGGTATATCAGTGAAGGCACAGCGTCCTCTCACCCTGACCTGCAGGTTTATTACCATTTGAACTCTTTGCGTGCGCACTACAGTTTTGACACCAGGATCCCTCCATATAAAAGGAGGAGGATGAAGGGGAGCAGCTCTCAGCAGGTGTGGCATCGCTGAGGAGCAATCCCATCAGCTCTTTTTGCTTCTCTCTAAAAGCAGCGTCCTGTCAGAGCGCGGTGATGGAGAGCGAAAACTCTCACAGAAATACTTCTCCTCAGAGGACGCTGCTGTCCAGAAGCAGCAGCAGTGAATATGCAGCACCTTCAATTCAATTAGCCTGAGAGGAGAAAACACATTTTGTCACCGTGCTGCTGCTGCTGCTGCTGCTGCTGAGATCGGAGGCGAGCGGCTGCCCGGCGCAGGAAATGATTCACTGATATCAGGCAGAGAGCCAAGCTGAGCTGGCAGAGGACCACAGGGACCGTTTGGCTTCAGGATGGGTGGGGGTGGGTGGTGAGGAGAGGGGAGGAAAGGGGAGGAAGAGGGAGGAGTGACCCTGACATGCAGCCGCCTCCGTGCGTCACGGCGACGCTCCAGGTTGGATGACAGTGCTTCACACCTCCACAGACACCTTTCGAAAGCTTGTAACGGCCGAGGTTTACCTCAGACAGGTGAAGACGCCGCTCCAGAGTGAAGTCTGTGGTGACGCTGTGATCGATTGTTCCTTTTATCTGGAGCCTCCTTTGGCCATGAAGTAGAAGAAGTTGTCTCAGTGATTCAAACCTGATCTGACAAACAGTGTCTGACACCAGCCGAGTTTCCGTCGCAGTTTTGTGCAACATAATAAAACATAATTTTGTTTTTCAAAACTCGACAAAACAGTCGCAAATGTTCTGAGTTTCCATCAGTCTGTCATGAAACAGACACTGACAATGACTTTTCATCCAGCGCCACCGTGAGGTCATAGTTTTAATCCGTCCAATACTTTGATGAATAAAATACCTACAACATTAATCACACCACTTAGCTCACAAAAGGTGATTTTTTTATATATAGATGCATCAAAATAAAAGCCCCTCGCTGGTTTGGTGGGACGACACAACAAAGTACACGACAGAAGACTAAAATATGTATTGCATCATAACTGTGCACAGTATTTTGCAAACTGGAAAATGAAGACGATGGAAGCAGATGTCCGGATCCAGTCCTGATCTCGAAACAACCAAATCAGCGAAACACACGAAACTAGAGCGAGACAAAGCGATAAATAAGAGAGTGAAGACAGACAGAGCGTTTACACTACACTGAGTATCTGACTCAACAACAAACAGACCACATGTGCTGGTCTGAATCATTGTCTCGTCTTTAAATGCTTTAAACCTATAAATGCATCGTTGTCTGTAAATGGGTGATTATATAAACTCAGCGAGTGATACAGAGGAGCTCGTGATCTCAAAGGTTTTTTTTTAACAAGGCTCTGCTCTCTCCTCTCTTCTTCCTTTCAGACTGTTTGGCCCTAAATTGGCTTCCTGCGTCCCGGCCCGTCAGAGGGAGTTGGATCAGTCTGCTGCTGAAGGTGCTTTTCTGCTTCTCGGCGGGGTTGACTGATTGTCCCTGACTGCCAGTAGTTGGTTCATTGTGCTTTGTTGTTGCTCAGGCTGCAGACAGTCCAGGCCCACTCCTCACACTGAGCCAACCTGACTCATTAGCTCAGCGAGTCCTCTGGCATCGCCCGCTCTGACGCCACTGACTTCACCTTAAAGTCCTCCGCAGGCCGGCGTGGAGCTCTCTACATGTTAACATCAAGTCCTCCCTGCTGTTTATCACCTGCTGCTGTCTTTATGGTCCTCTAAGGCGTTCACACTGTGCTACTCAAGCCTTTCTGTGCTGATGGAGACCAGCTTCATCTGCATGTTAAACACTATTTAATGATTGCAATTTAAGGCTTTATATTCATATTTCCCACAAGAAGAAATACTTTAAACATGATTTAAAATATTAAAATCTCTACTTTCATGTATGTTCTTGACCATTGGTTCTATTTATCTAAAGAATCAAAGCCTCAGTCCACAGAGAAATGCACACAGCCTGTATTCAGAAACTGAGCCTTAAAACCAGCCGTCAGGACTTCTGGAACTTTGTGATGTCACAACAAAGCAGTCACCAAGCCCCGCCCACCTGGACCCACCATCCAAACCTTGCAGGATTTGGTTTCTCTGAGTGTTTTTACCTGAAATCTGCTTTATTTTTATTGGATCACTCAGAAAACAGTCAGCCAATCAGAAGAGAGGCTCAGAGCCTCCTCTCTTCTGATTGGCTTACGCTGTTACCAGAGCTCCAGAGAGAAGCCTGAGAGAGGAGATGTAAAACTACACTGAGATGGTTTTTATATCTTCTGATGGATCAACACTTCAAATAAAACACAGAAGAAGAAGAAACATGGAGCTGTAATGTCCATGTGTTTTATAAGATCCTTATATACGTTTTTAAAATCAGCGTCTGCAAAGAAACTACAGCTGTCACATAAAACAAAGTGGTGTAAAACCTTAAAACTTGAGGAAATGTGCTATGTTGCCTCCACCTGTGGGGTCTGTCTGCCCCCTAGTGGTCAATCATCAATGAACGCAGCTTTAAAAAGGAAGTTCAGATAAAACAATAAGAGCATCATGTGAAGGTTTTATGTCTGTGATCCGAGGTGTGTTCGTAGAGATCAGGACAGGAAGGTCACTGTTGACTGAGACGTTGAAGTCGGGTTTTCACACAGACGCAAATCATATCATATCCTAATTTCCATATTAGCTATCTCCACTTTCTCAGTAAGTGTCTCCTCTGAGTGTGTTGGCTGCAGTTATTAGCACACACACACACACACACACACACACACACTCAGAGAGGAGCTGGTATCAGTTCATATTCTGGTCAAGGTCGTATTGAAGATAAAGTGTTTTATAGGTGTCGTCAAATCCCCATCAGACATGAACAGAAGAGACTCAATCTTCTAAAAACATCTCAAAAATGACATTAGAATTAAAACCTTTTTCTACTTGGACGAAATGAGTTCTGCTCTGAGAAGGAAACAAATCAACATCAGTGATGCAAAAACTGTTTCAAAATAAAAACGGAATAAAAACAATAACAAAAGACTGAGTTTAGTGATGTCACAAAGCAGCGTGGGATCATGGGAGTTGTTGTCTGCAGCTTCTCCTGGTTTGATTCCTTCAGTGTCGGTGGTTCAGGAGGTTTTTATCTGCAGCTGAATGATCCACAGAGGTTTCCTCCTCTCCACAACGAACACACCAGCTGATTAGAACCAGTAAAAACACTGAATAAAGCAGGTGTATGTTAAACATCAGTGTTTTTCTGATGCAGTTTGGTGCAGATGAAGTTGAAACCTTTGTGATAATGTCAGAACAACAACTCAACAACATACAGAAGCTACGTCTAGCTGCTTTAATGTAAAGATGAACTACAGTGCTTTTTATTTCCAATGTTTACTTTCTTTCTCTCAGTCCTAGCATCGTTGTCTTCTTTACTTCCTTCTTCCTTATCTCCCTTTATTATTTCCCGCCTCCTAATCTCCTTGCTTCCTTCTTTCCTTCCCTCCCTGCTTCTCCCTCTGGTTTTACTGTCTTTCCTCCTTTCCTTCCGTCTTTCTTTACCTCCATCCTCTTCCCGTCTTTAACGTCATTAGCACGTCTTGTTTATAAACTGTGTACGGTCACATTTTATCGCTGTATGTTTTATCGCCTCAGCTCCAGGTTTGTTGTGTTGGTGATCGCTTTAAATTGAAATGAAAGGAAACGTGCGTCAGTATCCGACGCCTCCGGCTGTCCGGTCAGTGATGAAGACGTGAAAATGTGAAATGCACTCGGCAGTTAGTCGAACACATTTACAGGATGAAGACCAACGAGGTGAAAATGTCGTTTCTCAATGACGCTGTGACCCGATGACCTCGGAGCAAATTCAACAAACCGATACAGACTCAGGTTTTTCTGCGTCGCTTCATCATCAGGAAACACGAGGAGAGAAAGCGGCTCAGTGGCTCCGGGTCACGTTAATACGTTAATGGAACTGAATCGAGCAGAAGTGAATTGATAAACAGAGAACAACAGGGTGAAATAAGAGATAGACACACAGAAATAGAAAGCTATGTGTCCTTGCATGTGTCTGCATGTGTGCACGCTGCAAGCATGCATCAGCCTGTGTTTGATCCGTCCTGCTGGAGGAGCAGCTAAACTTTGAGTTCATCACATTAACAATTAGAAATCTGCTGCTGTTCGTTTAACTGATGATTAATGTTTTCATGGTCTGTCGTCGCGCTGCGACTCAGACTGAAACAAAAGTTATGAAATTACACGTCATTTAGGAATTAAACATTTTATTTGTCATCATCTTTAGATTCATATAGTGAGTGTGTTTACATGATTAATCATATCAGAGGTTTCAGGCCACACCCACTTCCTGCTCAGAGTCTCAGTCAGAACACCTGAGCTTCCTCTGTTGGCTCAAGGTGCAGGCACACACACACACACACACACACACACTCTCTCGGGGGAAATCAGAAATCAGGAGGACGTGGACGGCGAGGACTCAGACACCTGTGGCTCACTGCTGTCAGCCAATCAGAGGGAGGGAAACACCCAGCTGATCAGGCTGATGGGACGGACGCGTGTTTGTACAAATGGTCTGATAAAAGTTTCAGACCGAGAGGAAGAGGAGGAAGAGGAGGAAGAAGAGGGAGGAGAAGATGGCAGGGATGAAAAGAGAAAGATGAAAAGGAAGGAGAGATGAGGACAGAGGAGAAAAAGAAAAGAGAGCAGATAAAAAAATTAAAATAAAGGAGAACAGAGGAAAGAAAAGAAGAAAAAGAAAAATGACCTGAACCAAAAAAAATTTAGGAAGCGATTGGAGGATTAGAAAAGAATAAAACTGAATAAAAGAGTTAAAAAGACTAAAAAGAGGAAAATGAGAAACAAAAGAAAAAGATTATGAACACACGAATGAAAAAGAGAAAAAAGAAACAATAAGAAGAAAAAGAAGAAGACGACGAGAGAGAGACTGAAGAGGAGGTCTTGAATTAACTGACTTCTCTGTCATCAGCTGCTGATTTTGGAGAACGACTCTCCCACAGGGACGGACACACACACACACACACACACACACACACACACACACACACACACACACACACACACAGCATTGTGGGTAATTAGCACCATCGTGTCCAAAAGCAGCGGAGAGAGAGAGAGATGAGATGAGATGAAGATCTAAATCTGCATGAAGAGATTTCTTCTGTTTTACTGCAACCCACTTCAGACTGTGTGTGTGTGTGTGTGTGTGTGTGTGTGTGTGTGTGTGTGTGGAGCAGTGTGCCAGAAGGAATGACCCTGACACACTAAAAGGGGGGATAAACAAAAGCCTGGCAACTAAGTCCGCCTGGCAACCCAGCATGCTGCAGCTGTTTGTTTGTTCACACAGTGATACTGGAGCAGTGGAGGTGGAGGTGGAGGTGTGTGTGTGTGTGTGTGTGTGTGTGTGATGGTGGGGTGGTGGGGGGGGAGTAACCTCAAACCTGGCACCCACACCAACCTGGCAACCCCCTCACCACCTTTCTGTTTTTGGCTTTCAGGGATTCCCCCTTTTTCCTCACACGTCGCCTCAGTGGTGAAACACTGAAGTTCCTTTCATCAGTCTGAGGACTGAACGACAGAGCGAGGCGGAGGTGAAGGAAACAGGAAGTCTTAAAGATGTAGCAGAGAACAGGTGAGAATTAGATTTCTCCAACAGAAGCCGCTCTCAGGTTGAACCACTCACACCTGTCAGGTCAAGGTCAGAGAGAGGTCAAAGTCTTCAGCTGTGACATCACGACCACAATCTCCGTCCAGACCAACACCTGGAAACATTTCTCTCACCTACACTGAGCAGGTGCGAGCAGGTGTAACCAGACCAGACTAGAAACAGACTACAACACATTTTCAAAATAAAACACAACCCCAGAGTTTTCAAAATAAAACGGGGTCATCAGAGTTTTTCAAGTCTCAGTTTTAGGCGCTCAAACCTGCGTCCTCGTGTGGACGCCAGGAGTAAACGCAGTAAAACAGATTTTATTCGAGGCGGAGATGAAGCCGACAGTCCCTCACTGCATTAACGTTAACCTTTGACCTTTCTCCATCGGACTCACTGACACACCCTCAGGTGTAAAGCTGAAACAGAATTACACTGTGAATCTGAAGCTGTATTTCATCGAGTGACTGAATATTTGCAGTAAAGACACGGACAGAGACACGGACAGAGACACGGACAGAGACACGGACAGACACCGGCAGGTTCCTCGGAGTGATCGTCCTTCCTGTCTCAAGTGTTCAGGTTTGTCGGGGGGGGGGGGGGGGGGGGGGCGGTCCCTCGGCTCTGCAGGTGTCAGGTGAGCAGGAAGAGATGAGTGGAGGTGAAACAGTCTTTCCTTCCCCCGACAGAGTCGCCTTTCAGCTGGGGTTACACCGTGACCTCACGGCCCCTGATATTTACCGTGGCCCCTCCAGGCTCCACACACACTGACACACATTCACACATTCATTA